GTCGGCCAAGCAGTGTCGGCTGGCGACCCCCAGGGGGAGGGCCTTCTCTGTGGGTGCCCCCACCCTCTGGAATGAACTACCCCCCGAGATTCGGATAATTCCGGATCTCCTTACCTTCCGTCGCGCCCTCAAGACATGGCTCTTTCAGCAAGCGGACCTGACCTAGGGTGGATTTTATACTGGGTTTTTTAGGAATTTGAAAGACACAACTTTAAAATTTGGTTTAATTCGGTTTTAAGGGGGGGATTGTATATATGCTTTGGTTTTAAATATGTTGTGCGCCGCCCTGAGTCCCGCTGGGAGAAGGGCGGCATATAAATTAAATTAAATAAATAAATAAATAAATAAATAAATAAATAAATAAATAAATAAATAAATAAACACAGCAGCAGCGGTGCACAGTGATGGCTAAATAGAGGTAAAGGAAAGAAATGTTCTGGGAACATGAGCAAGTGGGCTGCTTAGGTTGTGCCTCCCAACATTTAAGGGTGGTGGTGACTAAGGAATGATAAAGAGAAATAAAGCACTGGAAAGATTTAGGGAAGAGGTGAGAAATAGGCCTTTTGGGCAAAAGAATGTGCTGAGAAAATTAGGGTGTGATCTGACACCCAAGCTGTACAGAAGAAGACATCACATCCTATTTATTCCACCAGACCCCTCCAGAATTTATTTAGACTGGTGTTTCTCAAACTCAGCAAATTTAAGTTATGTGGACTTCAGTTCCTAGAATGCTGGCTGGAGAATTCCAGGAGTTGAAGTCCACACAGAACAGCCAAAATGTTCCAGATTCTAATTTGGCTGAACCCTGACATGTCCAGAATAATACATTCAAAGTCCTGACCCAGAGTATGGTTGTTCCACACATAAAAGTAAACACATACCACAGAAGATATAAATAGCTCAGAGGCTTCATGCTCTCTTGAGTTTGGCTGTTTTCCACAGACATTTTGTTACTAGACTAGGTATCATCAGCTGGGTAGTTTGAGAATTGTGAAAATCTTGAGATTTTCAATAAAATCCAAAAACAGTATAAGAATCCTAAAATTGCAAATTTTCTCCATGCTATTGGGCAATGTAAGAAAGTGATTGCTTTTTCCCATACTAATCAATTTTTGATAATAATAATAATAATAATAGTCCTTAAAAAGAATTGTCCAATATCAGAGATTGTTCTAGAGAGCCTTGAGTATTGATTCAATAAAATCAGTGGTTCTCAACCTATGGGTCGCGACCCCATTTGGGGTTGATCGACCATTTTACGGGGGTCGCCAAGCAAGGCTGTCCGCCATTTTTTTCCCCTTTTCCGGCGGGTGCCTTACCTCCCTTGAGCTGGGCCAGCTGGTGGTCGGCCTGCTCCGTCTCTGCCGCTTGCCAGCTACGCCTCGGCCGGCGCAGGGGGCGGAACCACGCATGCGTGGCGCTTCCGGGCAGGGAAAGTCCTCGACTTACGACCGGTTGGGTAGTCCTCGACGTACGACCGGTTTAGTCCTCGACTTACGACCGGTTTAGTCCTCAATTTACGACCGGTTGGGGGTCGCGGCATTAAAAAGGTTGAGAACCACTGAATAAAATGGATATAATAATTCCAACTGCCTTATTTGTTAATTTAAAAAAATATTTGTACTCAAAAATTTATCTCATTTGATTTGGCAGAAAATAAACATCTTTGCAGTGTAATTCCACACATCTTGAATTGCATTTTTATTTTACAGATAGGGATGTCATAATAAACAAATACTTTTGGGGTTTTGTTTCAGAGCAAACTGAAGAAAGTGACGTCTATCAGGATCTTTGCTGGCAACATCTGAATGAAGATTTTGTTTGCAGTCAACCTCTTGTTGGGAAGCAGACTACTTATACTGAATGCTGTTGTTTATACGGCGATGCATGGGGCATGCAGTGTGCCCTGTGCCCCATGAAAAACTCAGGTAGGACACATATTCATAGGTTGAGAAATATTTAATATTTTTAGTAATATCAATTCAGAAACTTTACTTAGCGCAAAGACAAAACATTTTCATTGCTGTTCAGATGACAGCAATGTTTTGACTTTCATTATGCACAGTCTGAACTCAAATTATCTTCAGATAAGATCACAGATTAGCTATTTCATAATGTCATCTGCATGATAACAGAATTGTTGAATCTTCTGCATCATTCCACATACTGAATTACTTCAGATCAAAAGGTACCTGGGTGGTAAATGCGAAAACTAACATTGCACCCACTTTACACATATTTTTTATGTGCATTATGATGTCACACACATGTATGTGAAAGGGTCAGGGCTTACATGATATCTTGATGCTGATTTCATCATTTTAGAAGGCACCGGATGCTATCATCTAATTGAAATAGATCTAAATTTACATGCCCAGCCATTTCCTCACTATTCCTCTACAATAAAGACATAATTCCTTGTTGAATTACATTCCTCTTATCTCTGAAATTATCCATATTGGTTTGGACTCTTAGAAACGGGTGTCCCGGTAACATCCACGGACCATCTTGCTGTAATATAATTTATTTCAATTGTGATTTGAAAAATATTTAATAGTATAAAGCAGTTAGTACTGAGAAATTCTATAATTTAAAATCAGTGCTGCAGTTTTTGAGTTTAGGTATCAGTGTTAGTACATCAGAGTACATTTGAAACAATGAAGGGAAATTGCTGATTTTATAAGCTAATCTTGAGCTTTAATTATGGCAAGAATAAAATCCAGGTGTCCGTAATATAATTCATATTACTGTGTTTCCCCAAATATAAGACCCACTCCGAAAATAAGTCTGATTTTTTGGGGTGGGCCTAATATAAGCCCTACCCCCAAAATAAGCTCGGGGAATTGGGCGTGGCTAGCACAACCAGCAGCGATCATGCAGGGGCCAGTGGTGTCTGGCAGCAGCCTCAGCCTGCCAGCTCTTTGGTGTGGTGCAGGTAAATCTGACCATGGAGGCAGAAGTGGGGCAGGGAGGCAGGCGATCCAGACACTCCACGTACTTTTGCCCAGAGGGAGACTGGAAGCTTCATCTTCTTGCAAACAAGGTGCCTGGAAACGGAGCAAATCGCTCAGTTTCCTAGTGTCCCATCGCAAGCAGACGAAGCTTCCAGTCTCCCTCTGGGTGAAAAGTGATTGGGCACCTATGTTTCCAAGCACCCCATAGGCGCACAAACACTTTTTGCCCGGACGGAGAAATGACAGAGACTGGAAGCTTTGTCTGCTTGCAAATGGGGTGCTTGAAGACTGAGCGAATCACTCAGTTTCTAAGCGCCCCATCTGCAAGCAGACAAAGCTTCCAGTCTCCCTCTGGGCAAAAAGTGTTTGAACTCCTATGGAGCACTTGGGCAGTTCCACCCCCTCCTCCACCTGCCTCACCTTGTGGCGGCAGCACAGGGGGCCATGCGTCCTGCCGCAAGCGGCCGCAGAAGTGGGCCGGTGCCCATGTGGGCTCCTGCTGGACAGGGATGCCGCAAGACGAGGTAGGGGAAAAATAAGACATCCCCTGAAAATAAGACCTGCCTCTTTTGGAGGCCAAAAAAATATAAGACCAGGTCTTATTTTTGGGGAAACATGTTAATAGAAAGGCAGGTGAATTTACTTAAAGATGTAGTAATTGCCAAAATTGCAGATGGGGGATATTAAACAATATGCTATAGCTAATAATATATATTTATTACTTAATGTATCTCAGTAATATTATGAGCGAATGTATTGATATTTTTAAAGCATTATTTAGGCAGTCCTAAATATTTAAGTTTAGATCCTAATATGCTTTAATTCCACTGAAATATATAGGACTTTAGTAAACATTACTGTAATATCTCATTAATGGATTTGTTATGTAGTTCCAACCAACTTAATTATGGTATAGGTTGCATTCAATTGGCAAATGACTTGTGAACCTACAGAGGATAGCAGTGCTATGACTGTGCTTCTGGATAAAGAAAATATTTATTTCTCTGAATCCATATCCCTAAATTTAGATTCAAAACAATGATGCCACCTAATTCTTGTAGAATATTCTTTTGATGTATTTTATAAATATAGTATACCAAATACTAAGCTTTGACTAATGGACATGATTTATCTTTGACAATATAAATGAATCTTAGGCTTATATTCAGTTGAATATGTTTCGCAAATGTATCTTTCATTTTCTAGTTCCAGTATCAAATTTGTATGGATTTTTTTCCTTAGTTCTTCTGATTGGAAAATCAGTTAGAATGGTAGCTGTTTTTCTTCATGGCAGAGGCCGATTTATACATTGTATGCTTTACAAAACAGTGACCTACAATGTGTTATATATATATTTGTTTCTTCATCCACTGTTTCAGTAACCTGAGATGGGTGGGAGGGTGTTTCCTCTAATATTCTCTCCAGTGGTTTTTTTTTTCTCCACCCAATTCAACAAACTGTGTTTTAATTTCCAGAGTGCTGTGCCAGAAAGGTTCAGATGGGAGGGAAATCACAGACACACTGGAGGAAAAAAATTGGAAACTAAATATTGTGCACAATTGGCTTCTGAACAGTTTAAAACTGGGGTTTGCTGGAAGTTTGCCAGAAATCATTTTCCTTAAATGTTTTCTGATGAGAAAAATGTATTGATTTTTTTTATGAGTTTTGCATTTTCTGTTGGCCAAGTACTCTCTACAGTAGTTCTCTTCAGATATTAGATGGGAAATGTAATCAAACTCATCTAGGGAAGTTGATTCAGAAGTTGTTTCCAGAATGTAGCTTTAAAGAAAAATACAGCTTTGTTTAAAATAAAGCGAAGATGGGTTTGTTTCTGATTAGGTTCGTAGAATTTATTAACTGTAATGACTGCTTTGATGTGACTGTAGTTTATACAGGTATCACCAGTTTTGATTTTTAGCTTGATTTTTCTCATTATGAAATAGGATTTCTTATACTGCCTTCTCTTTGTGGCTGATTGATGTACAAATGAGATAAAAAGCATTAAAGATAATGCAGACTTCTTCTCTAACAAACCTTTTGCTACCTGGTGAATTCTGGGAGCTGAAGTCCACACCTCTTAAAGTTTTCAAGTTTGAAAAACACTGCCTGAGATCTTGGTCTTTCTATAGAAGGAACTTGTGGCTTTTATCTTGTCACAATGGAAAGTGTAATCCACAAATCTGTCACTCCTGGCAAGGACATGTTGTATCACTTAGACCTTGCAGTGTGTTCTACAACCATGTAATACTCCAGTTTTTGTGCTTCTTATTTAACAAGGTTTGGTGGCTTGCATTAAGAAGAAGTAGGCTTGATTATAGCATAAATGGAAAGATATTGCCTCTTACTTTTAGTTTTTAATTTAAATTTGGAGAGAAGAAGTTTATCAAACTCTAAATGATGAACCACAAGTTAATACAAAGCAATTTGATCCTTTATTACTTGATTTTTTTTGTTAGTTACTTTTTCCTACATAACTAATATTGCAGTAAAGGGATAGCTGAGTAAACAGTAGTCAAGCATTGGAATATATTCTTTCCCCAACACAAATAATGATGAATGGTGTCTGAAAGAACAAAGTTCCCAATTTTTAAGTTCAAATGTTTCAAGTAGTAATTTTGGCTCAAAAAAGAATTTTAAAAGTTCTCAATCACTAGATCATATGCTCAGTTCCTGTCTAGAGAAACTACAGTTACTCTCTAGTTGAATTTTAGATTTATACAGTATATTGATTAGACTTGGTTTACTATTAGAACCTCACTTTGCCATGTTACTTTAAACATATGCTTATGGTAACAGAAAAACAGGTTATAAAGATGATATTCTATTTTAAGCAATATATTTCTGAAATTACCCAAAACATGTCGGAACCATGACACTAGTATTATTACAGAATAGCATTATCTGTTTTACAGTCTGACTTTCTCATATTTAGAAATACAAATTCTGCATATAAAAGAAAACAGGGCCTTTGAACAGCATACATAATTTTAAAAAGTATTAACATTTCTTCTATTTTTAGAGTTGTCATTAAACCTTTGTGTTCATTTTTACTTAACTCTCGCAGTGTTTCAAACTATGCTTTGAATTAAAGCTTAAAAATAATTAGTAAATTATTTTTACTAATCATTTTTAAGCTAAACAATGCTTAAATAATTATTTTTAATACTAAATAATGCTCATTTGTGTGAGATTTTCCTTTATCATTGCCTGAAACTTTCTTTTACACTTACATCAGCTCTCCCCAGTTAGCCTTTTGCCTCTAAATTATAGTTTACAAACTTGAATTTATTCGGCAGGCCAGAATACGGTATTTTAAATGGAATTTTATTGCATCAGTGTTTTAGTATGGAATGCTGCTAAACAGGAAGCTTAAAAGAAGTCATGCCAGAAGAAGATGATACCAGTAACATGCAAACCCATGGCACATTACAAATCAGATTGTGATTTGGAAATGTATTTTGTTTGTTGCCCTGTCTCAGTTAAGTGAATCAGTGGAATTTTCCATTTGTAAAATAATCTACAAATAAATCACTTGTCATTTATATGTTTCCAGGAAACTTTTCGGTTAGAAATTCAAGAATTATCTGAACAGAGACTAATGCTTCAGAGTTAATATATGTAAACATTATCAACTATTATTAAGCTGGTTAATATATGTTAAATATATATTTATTTGGGAAGCAAATAAATATCTATAGAAAGGCCACAGGAAGATGTTTGTTTTTCACATTAAGAAGAAAAGATATATAAATAGTGTAAGAAGGTTAGATGTGAAAAAACCCAAGGTTTTTCTTATGAACGTTGATGTTGGGAAACATCTGGCCTGGTACGGAGGAAGGATGAAGGGTGGAACTAGTCTAAAATCACTACGTAACTGTAAAAGAGCCAGAACTAGCCCTCTCCAATTCTTTGGAACCTTATCTAATTGTTCCCAAGGGAGAGCTGCTAGGCTGGGGAGATTCCTGTATTAGGGG